GAGAGAGAGAGAGAGAGAGAGAGAGAGAGAGAGAGGGAGGGAGGGAGGGAGGGAGGGAGGGAGGGAGGAGGTGGTTGATCCAAGATACAATCCTTTCAAACCTGGCCTGGAGTGACTGGCATAAACTAGGCAATCCCTGACTTGTGCTGATAACGGTGGTCTAAGACAGGGGTCTTCAAACTTTTTGACCAGGGGGCCAGCTGAAAGGTGCTGGTGCTGGGCGTGGGCCGGAAAGGTGGTGCCGGTGGTGTGTGCGGGCCAGTGAGGGGGTGGGGGCGGCACATGCACTGAAGTGGGGGGGGGCACACGGCAAGATGCTGGCAGGCACACACGGGTGAGGGGAGGCGAGGCGAGGCAGTGGGGTGAGCTTGTTCTTTCTTCCCTAGAAAGAACAAGCAAGCCCAACTGATAGCAGTTTTAGAGATTTATTACAAGTTATTTGTTCTGCAGTCTTTTAAGGGGTTTTTATTAAAACAATCTCTGTTGTGACTTTTGAAGTCTCTTGATGTAAATTACTTATCATCTTAAATCATGTTTTAATTATTCTGTTAGAGCTGCTGGCAAATTTTTCAGGGTCACATTTCCTCTTTCAGGAAATGTTCGAAGCAGACAAGTGAGTGAGATGGGGATGTGCGACACAAGACAACATCACACTCACACCCACTTGTTCCACCCCCTTTTGCATCCAGCGATCCCATTCAAGACTGCTGCTTCCCCACTGATATTAGCAGACATGTGTGGGCCTCATCAGGCTAAGAACCTGTTTGTCCACAGGTGTTTTATTATAAATTGTTTTTTGTTGTTAGAAAAACAATCCACAGATTTAAGTAGAGATGAAGTATTTCAAGACCAATAAAATCAAAACAACCAAGAATCTATAGCATATGACAAATTTATGGCATTAAATTTTTAAGTTAAAATTCAAAATCTAAACTGCAAATTTGATTGGTGCTTCAAAATTAAATTCAAAAATCAGAATGGCAAAACTGTAAAACACAGCACATTTTGCACAAATATTCTTTTCACCTCTAATATGCAAGTTACATCTAACCTCTTAGTCATCACACAATCAAACCGTATTCGTATTTCCAATGTAGTCAACTACTGCAGCTACGGATACTTGATGAATCCAGAGGGGCCCCATTCCAGAATGAACCGAGATGATGTGAAGCTGCTGGACTGGTTTGCAGGTCAGAGCATAGCCCACCCCAGAACCACAACCCTGCTGCATCCTGTGACATGGTTTGAAGGGCCAACTTTAAAAAAAACATTAACAAATCTGCTAGAAGGCATAGCAGCTGCACAATGGGTTGCAATGGAATCAGAAAAGCCCCAGGGGGTATACAATCATCCAGAAATAAAAGATGGCTGCTGAAGAACACCCATAAGGAGCCCCCTCCATATGATGTCCCTAATGTTCCATTG